TCATTTTCAGAACGTATGCATCGTCTTGGCACATGATATTCGGTTGAAAAAAAAATATTATGGAGGTTGGGTGGGGGAGCCCTCCTCTTAATGTTCCCTGATACAGATTTAGTACGGAATATTTTACATGTAATGGTAAGTCAAGGACTGATGAGGACCAAGACAGATAACTCTAATGTTTAAATAAGCTTTACATGTATAACATACCCCATATTTGAAGGTAAACAGGGTTAGTTAGAATAATCTAACTGTGTCTCGGGACAAGCCCTCACCACAGTTAGAATACGTCCCATATATTTGCAATGTAGCAAATCGGAGTGGATCCACTCCGAAATGATTTTGAAGAATACAAAAGGAGTTGCACTGAAAATAACTACCAAATTAATCATAACAAACCTTTTTGAGATTGTATATGCCTTTTAACCTAAAAAATAAACGATATAAATACGAAAATTCAACTCATTTTCTCAACGTTTTTTCCTCGCTTCAAATTTAACGCCATGTTGACATTCGGAACTCTCTGGATTGTTCATAGAAAATGCACAGGTTCGAGTTATCGCCCGTGTTTATTTTGCAACATTGCCAGGAACGAATTCTATCGTTAAAACGGGTCCGAAGGACAGTATCATTTTAAGGATAGAACGTTCTATCTAAAACAGGGTTAATACGAGATGGCACAGAATTCAGGTAGGAAAACACGAGTTATCGATCTTTAGTGTGCGGATATGGAATGTGTACGGATATACCGGTATTCACTCGTATGTGGAATATTCGACATGTAACTAATTTACGACATTAAAGGAAAATTTTTAAATAATAATTATGTAACTGGGAATTATGTATAAAATCGTATGAGTAAAAGCTGAAATTCTAGTCTATGTTAACAATGTATCAATATAAATTACTCATTAAATATCAATAAATATTGACAGTCGTGGATTTATTTAAATTAAAGGAAAAGTCATTAAACTAAATTATTAAATGTATTGACTGTCCATGTGAATTTGTATTTCGACCGATTTAATGTTTGTTTTTGTTTTTTACCTGAACATCTAACAAAGTGCAAAAATTTATTTTCTCACGATGTACAGAGGTATATCCAAACGCAATACAGGGTGTTTCCAAACGTACTATTGACATCCAAAGTTGATAGCAGAGCTTTTTCCCCTTTTACTTGTAAATTCTATCAATTTAAATTCCTAAGCAATACAACCTATTCCTCTATCTACTTTCGACAGATGCAAGATTAATTTTTCATGTAAAAACACTGATACTACATAGATGTGTCATCACACCAATCTGTAGTTTGCACCAGCTAAGATTCCTGCACAATACACACTAATTCCCTACATATTTTTAACAATTTCAATATTAATTTAACATAGGAATACAAACTTGATCCCAGACCCCCCCCCCCCTTCAAACACGCCTACCTTTTTTTGTACCAGCTAAGATTCCCGCACAACTAACGCTAATAAATAATACCTATATTTTACAATTGCAAGATTAATTTAACATGAGGATATTACTAGTAACTTGATTCTGGATGTTTTCTCCCACCTTCCTGTAGTTTATACCAGCTAATATGCCTGTCCAAACCACGCTATATCATTACCTACTTTGATTAGTTACCATTTGTTTTCTCCCACCTACCTGTAGCTTTTACCAGCTAAGATTCTTGTAAATTATTTGTTATTCCCTTTTTACTTTGGACAGTTACGGATTTATTTAGAATGAGGATATTACCCTGATCCCAGATGTTTTCTCCCACCTACCTATCGAAGTATATTGTATTCATGCAACCATGTAATATATTTTCATTAAATAACCATATTATCACTATTTTCAGTAGGTCCTGAACCACATATAAAAGGGACAAAAAATTAACAGTTTAGTAGAGGGCTAGGTTTGTTTTTCATAATCATGCAAACTGCTTGTATGTCCATGACCAGAGAAATAAATCTTGTATTTATAATGTTTGTTTATTTGTTTGGTTTTTTTTTTATATCTAGCCCCTCTAAGAAATGAATCATAAACCCGAGGGTCATGAATTTTAAGAATTTTGTAGATAGCTAATTGCAGATTATAATCATGAAAGCAGCTTTTCTGATGGTTATATTAAAGTATAGAAGATTTTTATGAATATAATGAGTTTTCTCTCAGGGGCTTCAATCCAGGTCATATTGATTTCTCAAGTGGTGGAGGGCTAAATGCATGCTCGTTTTAGACATGTTAAGTTAGTGAATCATGAGAAATCAATATGTATATTGTTCAGAAATATTAGCTGGTACAAACTACAGGTAGGTGGGAGAAATGTCTTGATAAAGTTAATATCCTCTTGATAAAATGATTTTCTGATCGTCCAAAGAAGATAGGGTATATCAGGAATCATGGCTAGTACTAATTAGAGGTGGGTACAGGAAAAGATCCGGAATCGGGGTTATATCCTCATGTTAACATAATCCTGTAATTGTCTGAAGTAGAAAGGGGAATATCGTATATTGTCCATGAATGTTAGCTGGTACACTACAGGTAGGAGGGGGGATATCTTGGATAAGGGTTTTAACCCCATGTTAAATAAACTTGTGATGTAAATGATGAAGATAACGAACGATGATCAATCTCATAAATCCTGTAAAAAAACGAAACGTGATAGGGCAAAAACACGGACCCATGGAAACACTTGATGTGGGATTAGGTGCCTAGGAGGATTAAGCATTCCCTGTCGATCGGCCATACCTGCCTTGAGCCCATTGTATTGTTAAGTTAGATGGAGTACTCCGTTGTCAAATTTAGTATTCAAGCAAATTTTATGAATTATGTCAGACAAAATACGACTCAACGATAGGTTACGCTTACAAACAAGATCATTATAACGATCAACTATAGAATTTGCAAAAGCATACTAAAAAAGGACTTTTTAAATCCTTGTAACATCAACTCATTTTTCAGTAGCTTACCTTGGTTTGAAAATTGTTCGTACTCAGAGCATGCTCTTACGTATGGAATCACTTGGGATACATAACCACTAGGGATGCGCGATTTTATCGGTATACCGGTATATCGCGATTTTTTATTGCGTGATACGTATCGTGATACGGAGACTAAAATACCGGTATTTTGTACATAACTATAAATTCCGGAAATTATTTATTATTTGCTCAAACTATTGAATGACAATTACAGGAAGTGTAAAAAAATGTTGAAAACAGTTAAACAAAGGCATTAAAACATGCTTTGTATTAAAGAAATGAAAATTAAGAAAAGTAAAGTTATGTTTTATAGCATATTTTTTAAAAATATTATAAAAATTCATTTGAAATTGTAGAAAAAATTTTGTGTAAAAATATCACGATTTATCGTGATATTTATGGGAAAAAAATCGTGATATATCACGATACGAAATTTTTGCCGATACCCATCCCTAATAACCACCGTATTTAAGTGGAATATTACTACATAATTAAGGGAGGTCGACAATGGAAAAAAAAACTGAAGTCATTCCGTTTGTCAAAAGTATGTAGGGCACTAATGTGTGGTTTACAGGAATTTTAACTGGCACAAAGTACAGGTAGGTGAGGAAAAGCAACTGAAATCAGGGTAATATCTTCATGTTAAATTTATCTTGTTACTGTCAAAGGTAGGTAGGGTATTAGCGTGTTATGCGCAGGAATATTAGCTGATACAAACTACATGTAGGTGAGAAAACTTCTGGGATCAGGGTATTATCCTCATGTTAAAATACTGTACGTTAAATAAATTGATGTATTCAAAAGTTTACATAATAACTGGGTATTAAGTCGTTGGCGTAATCATGAATCACACACGTCCGCACGTGTATCGTATTTATTTTGCTGATTTATTAATGGTTACCATGAATTAGCGCATTGTTTTTCCGCACTACGGTACTCTTGTGATTGTCCAAAAGAAGTTTGAGTAAAAGCGTGTGTTTTGAAGGAATATTAGCTGCTATAAACTAAAAGGTAATAAACTCATGTTAAATTAAGCTGATAACTGTCCAAAGAAGATATGGGAATAGCGTATATTTTGCAGGAATATTATTTGGTACAAACTACAGGTATGTTGGGGAAGTCATCTGGGATAAGGGTAAGATCCTCATGTTAAATTAATCTGGCAACTGTCCAAATTACAAAGGGGAAACTGTGGTGTCTTTTATTTCGAGTTCAAAGGGATAAATCGAATCAACGTCGGAATGAAAATGATTGATTGATTGATTGAATATTGTTTTACGTCCCATTCGAGAATTTTTCACTCACATAGAGACGTCATCATATACAAGTCAAGGGCTTCAAATGTAGACCTTTACTCGGTACTCAGGGCCATTGTGCAGTGAGGGATCTTTATCGTGCCAGCGCCTCTCGTGACACGGGGCCTCGGTTTTTAAGGTCTCATCCGAAGGACCCGCAACTTTTACTTCAAAGGCAAAGGAACAGTTGCTACCTATTTTTTATCGACTATGGTCAGTCGCGGCCGATATTCGAACTCACGACCTTCCGATCACGAAGCGCTCTACTTACTGAGCTACTGTGACGGTTAGGAATGAAAATTAAAATTGTTAATTGATAAAACGTCATTGATATTTCTCAAAAGAGGAAAATAAATATTGTTAAATGAAACAAAAATTCTTGGATATATTTATAGAGTCATCGAATTGAATTCCTCAGCAACATTTTATCACGAACTTCATAAAACTTGTGTGTAGAATCAGAAAGATTCCATTCCACACTATTTAATAGAGTATCTTTGTATGAACTTTCGTGAAGTTTTGGAATCCAGCTAGACATTCAAATTCAATTCGGTTGTTGGGAATATTTATAACTGAAGTATGTTTTGAGAAATCTCTTCTTTTGAAAGGGAACTATGAACTGGATAACCATTCGTTGAAGTAAATCAGATATTAACATTTGAAGACTGTTTTTATTAAAACAATTCAATTGAAAAATACAACCAAATTAGTGTACGTGTATATGAATTTCAGATTTTCCTTTACAGAGGAGAATAATAACAGTAATACAGATCATGGTTTCCTCCTCCAGCTCCATATGGATGACTTCCGGATACCGAGTTTTTGTTGTTGTGATCCTCGTCATCAAAATGCACGTGCTCTTCTCTGACGTACATTCCTTTGACCAGCTGACAAGGGGAAGTAAATCTCATCAAATAAAATGGTTTTGTTGTTGGCAGCTCTATTTCTCTGGTATATGAACCATCTTTTCTGTGATAAAAATACTTAACATTAAAATATGGCATTTTTAATTTGTTATACTTATAGTTACAAAGAAAAGATCTCCATGCCAAATCTATCATTTATGCAGTAGCCTATTCCATGTCTGGGAACTATATCCAGTTTAGATATCTCTATTTCATGTACCTAGTAGTGGATAAACCATGCTACAAATGATAGGGAGTTGCTGCTAAAGAGCTTTATTACCCTTAGGAAAATTGAGAAAAGTGCAAAAGATAATTTGCAATTGATGAGTAACTGCTGTTTGCCCCAGTACGTGAGAAAGCAAACTTTATATTTTGGAGATAAAATGAACATTTATGTACTATTATCATATAACTATAAGAATGTGCTAAAGTTTCCTTCTTCATATTATGTTTGAATATGTACTGTCAGCTAAAGCTAATAGTTCTTAGTTCCTATAAGCCCCTGGCCCGTATAAAGACAGGTATGTGTAGAACAATTTTGATACTTAATCTGTATGAATAATAGAAATTTGAAAGATTCCACAGAAACAATCTAATTATCAAAATTAGATGTTCCGAATACACTACCGCTTCTCAAACATCTAACAACATCCCATTCGGGGTCATGTCAGAACGACCTTTCGATTAGCCAATGAAATCGCTGCCTCCGAAATTTTGGTTTATAGTTCGGATGCATTTCTTTTTTCACTGCCAACCTAAAAGCCCGAGGAGTTTCGTAGTAAACAGAATATGCATGGCAAATGCCTTGCTATGTACAAGTAATAGCTTTTCAAAAAGCTTGCCTGACTAATCAATCATTATCTATGGAACGTATAAGCGAGAGAGGTGCTAAATGTTTCCGTCATCAAGGAGCGACATAGTTGCGATACTTCATTACACAAGATGTACAATTGCATTGCCGTAGGAACCGGGGGAGGGGGCACGGAGGAGCCGCCCCCCCCCCCCCCCCCAATAATTTTGCCGATATATAGAATACTATAGAAAGCATAGCTGCTATATGCTTGTGCCCCCTCAATAATAATGTCAGATGACTTTTTTTTTGCTTGTCAAGGAATTTTGGTAGTTCATAGGTTCATAGTGTCCCCCCCCCCCCCCCCAACTGAAAATGTATGGTTGTGTCCCCTCAAAGTGAAACTGCTTCTTACGGGCCTGAATTGACTTTCTCAAAAGTCATAACCAATTAAATACTACAGATTAACGAATATCTAAGACATGCCACTATTTGGCCCTTTATTAGTTAGCCCACGGGCTGCCTAGTTACGTTGGGATGAAACTGCAAGTGCACTAGCGTAGATTATAATTCTAGGAAAAACAGATGATTCGTTTTAAAGAAATTCATATCACATGTACTCTCTTACCAGAGGGCGCGGTTCTTTATGCACACTCTCGTCAGTGATAGTTTTCCGTCGTTCTCGATCGACGACGAAGAAAATTATGAACACTTTTAACTGTGAAAGTTGTCTTGAAGTGTTTGAGACAAAAATGCTTCAATGCTGCTCTAGAACTCAAAGTAAATGGCCTGTACAGTTTATAGCTAGAGCAAAACAAGATACTAATCCCCCCCCCCCCCCCCCCTTCCGAAAAAAACTCACTTTATGATGGTCTGACCATGCTTACCATATGCATGTATTATAAATGAGTTTAAAATACATCTTTATGTACAGTTTTAAAAATTGTTTATAGTTTTTCTTTTCAATCGATTTCAGGACCTTTCTCATATTTATAATAACGTGCTTTTTTATGAAATGAAAACCAGTACAGATCATGATGTCTTCTTCATTTTGCCGATTCTATACTTAAAACCTTACGGGAGTGAAGCCCATTCCTTTACGGGTACCGACCTACTCTCTTATTAAAAGGAAACCCTTGCTCATTACAAAGCATGAAATAATATGCTACTGGCTAACTTTCTAAGCTTTTTTTAAAAGCCTAACCTTGAAACACACATTATTAATAAATGTAATATTGAAAGAAAAGGTGGAAAACAGACTGAATCAAGAAGGGATGTCCCATTTACTAGGTGGAGGGAGTTTGTTTATGATTGGACTAGTCCATTTATAGGATAAATAGTAAGAATAATCAGCAAATCCATTGCTTCCGTGTTGCCTGCCCATATACAATGTGTTCTTTTAAAAAATGAGATAAAATTTACTGTTGTTAAAAAATCTGAAGCTTAAGAATCGGGTTAAAAGAATAAACGTTATTTATTTCCATAGAAGTTATCACACCCATTCAATAGAACAATCCAAGAAAAAGGCGCGAAGATAATTCACGTGACATTTGGAGCGAAATGATTGTGTCACCCCTTTCGTACAAGGCAAATGGACTGATCCAGTAGTTTAGAAACGCAGAAAAAATGTCACACGGACATGTCCATACAAAGAATTGCAAAGAATAAAAATGTGCATGCAAAAAAACTGAAGGAATTAAACACATCATTAATTTGCATCAGTAATATGATTCCTTCTTCTGCAAACTGTTTTTCTTTAAATGCAGGTAACAAATTCCGTTGTAAATCAGCTTGCACAAAATCTAGTTCATTAAGAATGATCGCTTAGTTTCGGATCTTGGAAATATTAATCCTTATACTGCCTGACGCACGTGGCGTCAGGCAATGAATGTGACGTGCGGGATATCTCGTATATTTGTGCATTCTCGTTTGCGTTATTCAGGTGGTAAGAATGCTTGATTGGCGGACTATACATTAAATTTATACCAAACTTACTTTAATTCAACGTAAGACAGACTACTGAGCATCAGTAATGTGAAGATGTAGCCGTTGAACTAATTTTAGAATCGTATACAGAAGCTCGAATCTGATTGGCCAAGATTTTCATGTTTATTCATAATCGAAAGGTCGCCCTGACGTGACCCCGAATGGGATGTTGTTAGATGTTTGAGAAGCGGTAGCGAATTCGGAACACCTAATTTTAATTAGATTGCCACAGAAGTAATTTCTATTTTTAGTAAGCATTGCAGCATCACTCGCAAAAATCAAAATCCAATACACAGAATTATTTATCTTGTTCAGTCTACTTGTGTGCAAAGTTTTATTGGAATACGACTGAAACTGTAGGAAGAGTTATGATTTAAAGAATTTTAATAGAATTGTCTATATATAATAACCAAGAATTGAGTATCCTTCTATTGTCCACCTGTGCACCAACTTAAAAAGAAACGAGCAAAATCTACAGAAATGGAAGCGTTTTGAAAAATTCTTTACAGACGAACAGACAAGCAGATTGACGAATGACGATCACCTTTCCATCGAATAAAATATTTTGTTTGAATAGATACTATAGAGCTAAAAGCTAAGTAATTTATGTTCTTAGTCATGGAGACGATGTCAGACATTTTCCAGGTACTGTAAATCACTTTTTGTTCACGAAAACCTTATTTTTGCGTAATTACGCGAGACCCTCCGTTCGTGAAAATTTTACTCTCTTTTTTCTTATTAAAGATTATAAACAACATTATAAATACTTATAAATACCAAATAACTACCTAAATATTCCTATACTAAATAAGGTGTCGCGAAAATGTGGTGATCCACAGTAGACAGCATTTTTATCTATCTCTATCAAGGGGCTTCAATTTTTGTATTCTGCATAGTAAATGATGTGTTTTTCTTAATTCAATAATAATCATTTTCATGCATTGTATCCATCATATAAAAATGATAAGATACTTTTTTGAAATACTAGTATATTTTGTGGACCGAAACTACCCAAGAGTTAAGACTATAATGTTTGTTATGACGTAAATAATTTTGCATCTTTGTAACCCCCCCCCCCCCCCAAAAAAAAAAAAAAAAAACATTGAATCTGCGCTTCATGTTGAGAAAAAATAATCCATGGAAAAGCTATTTAATTTTTCAGTAAATACATTTGTTATTTACAAAATTGTATTCTACGCTGCGGAATCCATTCACCGAGTTCTACATAAATCAGCAATATGTAAGTAAGCAGTTTTATAAAGTTCTTCTTATCATGAATTCAAAAGATGTTTTTATTAATCCGACACATTTTAAACGTTTCCAATATCATCTCTACTTTAAATAGTTGGCCCCTTCATTTTATTGAATTTAGTTCCTTACAGAAAGGAGGCGGGTATGGTATACATCGCGACAGGGTGTCAAAAACAAAACACACAGACGAAACCAGACACAGTTTTGATCAGAAGAGCTCACTTGAAGCTTTGAGTAGACATGGGGGATATGTATAAATCCCTTTTTTAAAAGTTTTGTGTATAAGGTTTTGTAAATGTACATCGTCATCAAAGGACTATATTCGGTATTGACTAATATCTGCCCCCAGAATCAAACTTTGATGGAGAAGTCTATAATTATGTTCTAAACCAGGGGGTATCTGCAGTTTTGAGAACAATACCTATTTTCATCAGCAATGACATCATATGTTAGATATGACGTCAAGAAGATGACATAAATTCAAATTTTCAATGATTTTGAGAGAAAAAAGTGTATTTTATGTCGATATTTTTTATTAAAAGTCATTGAGCGCAGGTCTGTCCCAGCTCTATCTTTTGATATAATGTGTAGAATTATAATATCAATCAGATGTGTGATTATTGTTCTGGAGCAAGCTTGCGCTCAGTAAATTCTATACTCAAAATTGAACAAATTTTGTCCATTTTTTCCTTTATCTTGAAAATAACGAAAAATTCAAATAGTTTTTGACGTCATATATACAAGCATTGACAATAATCTACTTCCAATCTATAATAATTTTTGCCAATTAAGAATTTTCATATAATATATACAATTTCGTACATTTCTAGAAATTTTCAAAATTTACCTTTTATGGGAGCAAATATATCCTTTTACCGCATATAGTTCTTTGACAAAATTTCTAAGAGCTATTTATTGATACACATTTATTTTGTTTATTTTCAGTATATATATGTAGCTCACACCTTATACTGACCCTTTACACATGGGTGTGCATATGAGGACTCTAATATCTATTAACTTTTAAACATTTTTCT